GGTGTCCCGCTGCTGTCCCGTCGGTGTCCCGATGATGATAATGATGATGATGATGCTGATGATGATAGTGATGTTGATGATGTTGATGATGTTGACGATGATGATGATGATGATGATGATGATGATGATGATGATGGTGATGGTGGTGATGATGATGGTGTCCCAATGATGATCATGATGATGATGTTGACGATGTCGGTGATGATGTTGATGATGGTGATGGTGGTGATGATGATGGTGTCCCGATGATGATGATGATGTTGATGATGATGTTGCTGATGATGATGGTGATGGCGCCCCGATGATGATGATGATGATGATGATGATGATGATGATGATGATGATGATTTTGATGATGGTGGCCCGATGATGGTGATGATGATGCTGATGTTGATGATGATGGTGTCCCGATGATGGTGATGGTGATGATGATGATGGTTACGATGATGGTGTCTCGGTGATGATGATGACGTTGCTGACGATGATGATGGTGTCCCGATGATGATGATGTTGATGATGTTGTTCATGATGATGATGAGATGATGATGATGATAATGATGATGATGATGATGATGATGATGATGATGATGGTGGTGTCCCGATGCTGATGATGTTGATGATGATGACGGGGACGATGATGGTGTCCCGATGGTGATGATGATGGTGGTGATGATGATGATGTTGATGCTGATGGTGATGAGGTGATGATGATGATGGTGTCCCGATGATGATGATGATGATGATGATGATGATGATGATGATGATGATGATGATGATGATGATGATGAGGATGATGAGGATGATGATGATGATGATGATGATGAGGATGATGATGATGATGATGATGATGATGACGTTGATAACGATGGTGTTGGTGACGTTGATCTTGAGATCGATTGTGATATCGACTAATATCGATAGTGGGACCGAATGTGAGATAGATTGTGAGATCGATAGTGATATCGATTGTGAGATCGATTGTGAGATCGATAGTCAGATCGATTGTGAGATCGATCGAATGAAATAGATCGAGTGAGATCGATTGTGAGATCGATCGAGTGAGATCGATCGAGCGAGACCGATAGTGAGATCGATAGTGAGATCGATAGTGAGACCGATCGAGTGAGACGTTGGTTCCTCCCCCCCCCGAACCTCCTTATCACCCGAAGGGTGGTCGTATAGGTATACAGATGTATGTGTACGCACACACTCGGATTATAATGAGCTCGCTTGCTGTCATTTTCTTGTGCGCTTCCGGTGCACGCTGCTAGGCGGTTCTTGCCTGGACGTTGGTGGCTGGTGCTGTGTTCTTTCTGGCTGGCACCGCGCGTCTCCCTTTGTTTTCAGCTGCTTCCTGGAACGAATGGGAAGCGAGCCTGTTCTAGAAGGGCAGAGTGGTATGGTCCCTCTGCTAACCAGCGTCTCTTATCATGCGATTGTGTGCTTGCTTCATCCATGGTGGGTGCACGATAGTAGCACGTGCTGTTCTCATGGAGCATATTGCCCCCTTCTCCCGTCTTCGCCCTCCCGCACATCCATTTCTCACATCCCGTTTCATTGATGCTTTGTGTGGGGTCTTCGAAGGCATGGTACACATAATGTCATATCCCACACGCGAAGCGAGTATGTTTCTCGGTCTGTTGGGCTGAATACATCTTGGTGGTCCTGGGCGGGGATGACTGCTTGACATGCGGACTAGAGTATCCGAGCTCGCGCGCTGACGTGCTCAGAACCTTGGAGAGATGAGTCCCAGGGACGCTAGCAGCACGGCCAGATTAACGACTTCTGGTCTATGTATATATGTGTACGCACACACGCGGATTATACTGAGCTCGCTTACTGTCATTTTCTTGTGCGCTTCCGGTGCACGCTGCTTGGCGGTTCTTGTCTGGACGTTGGTGGCTGGTGCTGTGTTCTTTTCAGTTGGCACCGCTCGTCTCCCTTTGTTTTCAGCTGCTTCCTGGATCGAATGGGAAGCGAGCCTGTTCTAGAAGGGCAAAGTGGTATGGTCCCACCGCTAACCAGCGTCTCTCATCATGCGATTGGGGGCTTGCTCCGTCCATGGTGGATGCACGATAGTAGCACGTGCTGTTCTCATGGACTCATGGAGCATATTGCCCGCTTATCCCGTCTTCGCCCTCCCCGCGCATCCATATCTCACATCCCGTTTCATTGATGCTTTGTGTGGGGTCTTCGAAGGCATGGTACACATAATGTCATGTCCCACACGCGAATCGAGTATGTTTGCTCGGTCTGTTGGGCTGCATACGTCTTGGTGGTCCTGGGCGGGGATGACTGCTTGACATGCGGACTAGAGTATCCGAGCTCGCGCGCTGACGTGCTCAGAACCTTGGAGAGCTGAGTCCCAGGGGCGCTGACAACATCTCGGTCATATTTGCGGCTTCCGATACATCATACTAAGTTCGCATCGTGTTACTGTTCCGCGCGCTCCAGGTGAACACGGCTTGGCGGTGCCTGTCGAGATTTTGGTCGTCGGTGCTGTGTTCCTTTCGTACTCTACCCCTCTCCCTTCGTTTTCAGCTGTTTCTTGGAGCGAAGGCGCAGTGGCGTCGTCCCACCGCTAATCAGCGTCTCTCATCATCCGATCGGGGGCGCGCTTCGTCCACGGTGTGCGCACGATGGGTAGGACAGGTAGTGCTCACGAAGCTTTTTGCCCCCTCCCTCTCTCCTCGCCCCTTCCCGTCACATGTATTGCGCATCTCCCGTTTCATTGATGCAGTATGCGGTCTTACAAGGCATCGTAAACGGAGTGCCATATTCCACACGCTACGCGACTATGTTGGTGTGGCCTGTTGGGTTGAATGCATCTTGGTGCTCCTGGGCGGGGATCACAGCTTACCATGCGGACTAGAGTATCTGAGCTCGCGCGCTGACGTGCTCAGAACTTTGGAGAGCTGATGCCCAGGAACGCGAAAGTCTGCACGGCCAGAGTAACGACTTTCGAAACATCAGGCTAGGCTTGCATAGTGTTATTGTCTCGTCCATGGTGGGCGCAGGATAGTGGCACGGTTCGTGCACATGGGGCATACTGCTTCCTTCCCCATCCTCTCTGGAGTGCATCTGTGATGCGTGTACATCCAGTGTCACTGATAAAATGTGTGCTCTCATTCAGCTTGACAGGGAGCCCAGAAATCCATACGCCAAGCTACTACATCCGCACGGTTATGTTGGACCGCAGGCGTTTTGGTGATTTGGGGCGGGGATGACAGCTTGACGTGGCGGACTAGAGTATCCGAGCTCGCGCGGTGACGCTCAGGACCTTGGAGAGCTGATGCCCACTGAGTCTGGACCTCGGTTGCTGTTGCTGTGTTCTTGTCATGTTGGACGTCACGTCTCCTTTTGCTTCAGCTGCTTTCTTGGCGCTCCTGGGCGGGATGACAACTTGACGTGCGGACTAGAGTATCCGAGCTCGTGCGCTGACGTGCTCAGAACCTTGGAGATCTGATGCCCAGGGACGCTACAGCAGCATGGCTTGGTCAGCAACCAGCGATATGATGTCAGAAGACGTTGCCATTAGTTTGTGGCGCTCTTTCGGTGCAAACTGCTTGGCGGTGTACTGGACCACGGTGGCCTGTGCTGTGCTTGTCCGACCGTTTTTTCAGGCCGTGGATGTAATGGTCGTCTTGGACGGGGATGACAGCTTGACATGCGGACTAGAGTATCCGAGCTCGTGCGCTGACGTGCTCAGGACCTTGTAGAGCTGATGCCCACTGCGTCTGGACCTCGGTTGCCGGTGCGGTGCTCTAGTCGCGGGGGACGTCACGTCTCCCATTTTTTTCAGCTGCTTCCTGAAACGAGTGGGAGGCGAGCCTGTTCTGACAGGACAGAGTGACATTAAATGGCCGCTTACCAGAGTTTCGCCCCACTTGATTGGGACTGCGCCTCGTCCATGGTGGGCTCACGATAGTAACATGGTTCGTACTCGCGACGCATCTTTTCTCATCCTTGTCCTGCTCTCTTCTGTTTTGCACATCTGGTTACATTCAAGGCATTCTTTTTCCCTCAGACGTTGGGCACGGAGGGCGCGTTCCACGCGCTGTGGTCGAGTATGTCCGCGCGGTTTGTTGGGGCGCAAACGTCTTGGCGTCTGCGGGCGGGGATGGCAGCTCAACATGCAGACCAGAGTATCCGAGCTCGCGCGCAGACGTGCTCATGACCTTGGAGAGCCGACGCCCCCTGCTCGACGTTTCGTGCCCTGACCTCGGCGGCCGGTGATGTGCTCTAGTCGTTTCGGGCCGCCAGTCTCAAGCAGTGGCGAAGCGTCCTGGCTTGCCCATAGCCCTACCAAACGATGTTCTAAGAACCCTTTCTGGTTTCCACGACATGTTTTTAGAACATTTCTGGTTGAGAGTGTCTTGGTTTAACACATCGGGTTAATGTTCTAAGAACATGGTTATTGTTCTTAGGACATTTCTGGGTTCTAAGAACATTTCGTGGTATGAGTATAGGAACGCCGGGACGGTCGGTCCCTGCTCAACAGTCTGCCCGTGCTTTCAGCTGCTTTCTGGAATGAGTGTGAGGCGAGCCTGGTCTGAAAGGGCACGCCAGAAGACACAGTCTCACTGCTTGTGCGTGCTTCTCACCGTCTCGCTCGGTCGCGCAGAATCAGTACCGTTCAATCGACCCCCATCCCCATCCCCATCCCTATCCAGACCCTCACCATCTCAGCCCCCCCTGTTGGGGATGTACCCCTCGAAGCCCCAAGGAAACTGCCTATACCTCCATCCAGGGGGGTAAATTGGCCAATGGGCCCAGGCCACGCCCACGTCACCCACCAAACCACCCCATCCCAACCCGAAGGCCTCAATTTGCCCTCCATTTCCAGTGGGGGGGGGTCGGGGAACACTGAAAAATGCATGGAACCCGTACCCCCCCCAACTCGAAATTCGGGCGAAATTCGGGTCTTCGGGTTGGGTTGGGGTGGTTTGGTAGGTAGTCACCATGGGGGTAGGGGTCGGTTAGCCGATGCTCAGCGAAAGGTGTCGTTCGCCGAGAACCTGCTCTTCACGCACAGGGGCCTGAGCGGGCCCGTGGTGCTGCAGATCTCCTCGTTCCTCGGCGAGGACCAAGGGAGGGGGACACGTGCGCGGCCGTGCAGGCTTAGGAAGCGTCTGCGAAGGGTCGGCGGCGAGCGAGGGGGGGAAGTGAGAAGGAGAAGGCCTTCTCAGAAGGCGGCGGGACTTCTCAGAAGCCCTCGCGCCTTCTGAGAAGTTTTCAGTGTCTTCGGGGAAGGCTTAGAAAACTTCTCAGAAAGCCCCGGGACTTCGAGCCTTCTGAAAAGGCCCGCCTCTTCTCACTTCCCCCCTCGCTCGCCGCCGACTGGGATCGGCAAGGTCGGATGGAAACAACAAGAGCAGGGCTCGTTTTGATGCCTCTGATTCGATTCTTGTTCGGTTTCGACGGTTTCCGATTCCGATTCGATTCGATTGCGGATTCCGATTTCGATTCCGACTTCTCCATGGAGGCCTACTAGCCTGCCGATGTCGGTCGACTCGACTTCTCCGGACTCGGCTGCCGATTTCCGCCGATCCGATTCATTTCGATTGCATGTCTGACATATATTTGATTCTGGGCTCTCTCCTGCAAGAGTGCGGAAAAAAGGGGGAGGATGAGGAGAAGGAGGAGGAGGAGGAGGAGAAGGAGGAGGAGGCGGAGGATGAGGAGGAGGAGGGGGGGACGAGCGAAGAGGGAGAAGGAGGAAGAGGGAGGAGTATCACGACTTCTTCTTGCACGGGTTTATCCCTGCACTGTAACTGAATACCTTCGCCCAAGCATTGTTTACATGTGAGCTGATAGGTAATGGTAGTGGTAGTGGTAGTGGTAGTGGAAGTGGAAGTGGTAGTCGTACTAGTAGGGCTAGTGGTAGTGGTGTTAGTAGGAGAAACAGTAGTATTTGTAGTCGTCGTCGTCGTCGTCGTCGTCGTAGTAGTAGTAGTAGTAGGAGTAGTAGTAGTAGTAGTAGTAGTAGTAGTAGTAGTAGTAGTAGTCGTAGTAGTAGTAGTAGTAGTAGTAGTAGTAGTAGTAGTAGTAGTAGTAGTAGTAGTAGTAGTATGAGTTGTCGTCGTTGGAGTAGTCGTAGTAGTAGTAGTAGTAGTAGTAGTAGTAGTAGTAGTTGTTGTAGTAGTCGTAGCAGTAGTCGCTGTAATAGTGGTAGAAGTAGAGGTAGTAATATAGTAGTAGTAGTCGTAGTAGTAGTAGTAGTAGTAGTCGTAGTACTAGTCGTCGTAGTAGTGGTAGTATTAGTCGTAGTCGTAGCAGTAGTAGTAGTAGTCGTAGTAATAGTAGTAGTAGTAGTAGTAGTAGTAGTAGTAGTAGTAGTAGTAGTAGTAGTAGTCATAGTCGTAGTCGTAGTCGTAGTAGCAGTAGTAGTAGTATTGGTGGTGGTAGTAGTCGTAGTAGTAGTAGTAGCAGTAGTAGTAGTAGTCGTAGTAGTAGTAGTCGTAGTAGTCGTAGTAGTAGTAGTAGTAGTAGTAGTAGTAGTAGTAGTAGTAGTCGTCGTAGTCGTAGTCGTAGTCGTAGTCGTAGTCGAGTCGTAGTCGTAGTCGTAGTAGTAGTCGTAGTCGTAGTCGTAGTCGTAGTAGTAGTAGTAGTAGTAGTAGTAGTAGTGGTAGTAATAGTAGTAGTAATAGTGGTAGCGTTGATAATCACAGTGGTAGTAGCAGTAGTAGCGTCGCTAGTAGTGGTATTGGTGGTGGTCGAAGTAGAGGGTGTAGTAATAGTAGGGGTGGTAGTACTAGTAGTAGTAGTAGTAGTAGCAGTAGCAGTAGCAGTAGCAGTAGTAGTAGTAGTAGTAGTAGTAGTAGTAGTAGCAGTAGTCGCAGTAGTCGTCGTAGTAGTACTAGAAGTAGTATTATGATTAGTAGTCGTAGTAGTAGTAGTCGTGGTAGTAGTAGTAGTAGTAGTAGTAGTAGTAGTAGTAGGAGTAGTAGTAGTACTACTAGTAGTAGTAGTAGTAGTAGTAGTAGTAGTTGTCGTAGTAGTAGTAGTAGTTGTCGTCGTCGTAGTAGTAGTAGTAGTAGTAGTAGTCGTAGTCGTAGTAGTAGTAGTAGTAGTAGTAGTAGTAGTAGTAGTAGTGGTTTTAGTAGTGGTAGTAGACGTAGTTGAAGTCGTAGTAGCAGTAGTAGTAGTAGTAGTAGTAGTAGTAATAGTCGTAGTAGTAGTAGTTAGTAGTAGTAGTAGTAGTCGTAGTAGTAGTAATAGTAGTAGTAGTAGTCGTAGTAGTAGTAGTAGTAGTAGTAGTAGTCGTAGTAGTAGTAGTAAGTAGTAGTAGTAGTAGTAGTAGTAGTAGTAGTAGTAGTAGTAGTAGTAGTAGTAGTAGTAGTAGTAGTAGTAGTAGTAGTAGTAGTAGTAGTAGTAGTAGTAGTAGTAGTAGTAGTAGTAGTAGTAGTAGTAGTAGTAGTAGTCTAGTAGTAGTAGTAGTAGTAGTAGTAGTAGTAGTAGTAGTAGTAGTAGTAGTAGTAGTAGTAGTAGTAGTAGTAGTAGTAGTAGTAGTAGTAGTAGTAGTAGTAGTAGTAGTAGTAGTAGTAGTAGTAGTAGTAGTAGTAGTAGTAGTAGTAGTAGTAGTAGTAGTAGTAGTAGTAGTAGTAGTAGTAGTAGTAGTAGTAGTAGTAGTAGTAGTAGTAGTAGTCTTAGCGTTGGCATCAACAATACGTATGCGCCTATCAATCATGGTAGTTCTCGGGTCTTGATCACTCCCGCCGAACCCGAACGCGCGCGCGCAGGACAGAGAGGTTGTCATCGACCTTATCCCAGACCAGCAGGAGCCTTGGCGGGGGTTGTTTCCGTTTCTCTGTCGTTGTTTTCCTTTCTTCTTCGCTCTTCCGCTCTTCTCGCTCTTTTCGTGTGTCTTCCTTCGTTCTCCTTTCCCGCCGCGTAGTTGCCCTCTCGTTGCCCTTTTCCAGCGTCCCACTTGTGGCTGCTCGGCTCGCGTCTTGCTTTCGACCTTCTCGACGGTGCGCGGTTGGCTCCGCGTCACTCGCGATCAAAAAGTATCCCTGCCGGCCCGTCCCGAAACGACGCCCAAGCGAGTTGTTTTGGTAAGGGGAGTGTACGGTCGGGGGCGCAGCTGCAGGTCGCGGCCTGCCGCCTCGGCCGCGAGATCCTTTGGGCCCTCCTTCCCCCGTCGGAGGCGTCGTGCGCCGGCGCCGCGGGGGTGTAGAGGATTGCCGCTGCTGTGGCGGTGGCGGCGTAGAGCTGCCCTGGCGGCCCCAGCGTCGGCCCTCCATAGCGGCGGCTCGGGCGGCGACCCCGGCGGCGACCCTGGTGGTGGCTCTGGCGCGACTCGGGGCGACGGCGGCCATGGTCCAAAAAGGGCGAATGCTGTTTTTGGCGTCCCCCCTTGGAGGCCGACAACTCGCCTCTTGGGGCCCTCGCCTCTTGGGCGCCTCTTGGGCGCTCTTGGGGCCTTTTTGGGGTTCTCTTGGGCCATCTTGGGGTCATCTTGATGCCTCAAAGGTTTATCGGAAACGACAAGGCGAGGAGGCACACCATTTGATATGCCTTAATTCGGTTTTGGACGGGTTTTGGCCTCACCCTTAGCCGCCTTGGGGGCGTCTTGGAGCCTTTTGGCGGTATGTCGGAGGCTATCCTGAACCATGTTCGGCTATCTTGAGTCATCTTGGAGGCCATTTTGGGATATCTTGGGCTGTCTGGGCGGCGTCCCCCCGTCCAGACCCAGGGGAGGGGGGGAGGTGAATCTCCCCGAATAGGGGAAGGGAGAACCTGGAACAGGAAACGCGCTAGACCACCTGCGTCCAAAGGGCTGCTGGGATTTCCCCCCCTCCCTCCCCCCCCCGTCGAAACCTTCAGAATGGCTTCTTGGGGCTCTCTTGGGCCGCTGTTGGGGCCCGCCTGGGCCCTCCAGAGGCTTTACCTGGCGATCGTGGAGCTATCTTGACGCCCCAGAAGCCAAATCTGAAACGAGAAGGCGAGGAGGCGACAGCCGTTCCTGATTTCCATCGATGTTCGAAGGACTCTGCCCTTTCGGGGGCGCCCTTCGAAGGCTCCGAGGCCATTTGGAGACGCCTGAGTCAAGGGCATACAAAAACGCCCGTACCCTGGTTTACGAGGCGCTGTGCGCTTAAACTCCTGTGGGCTGACAGGGTAAACCCTGCGTGATGTGCCGCGTCCTGGCGGCTCTAGGCTTTGGGGGGTCCCAGGAGGTGTACAGACCACGCACTTGTAACCCAGGGTAGGGTTGTGAGGGCGGTCTTGAAACTTTTGGTGGCATGTTGGAAGCTATCCTTAGCCATCCTGAGCTATCTTGTGCGATCTTGGATGCCATCTTGGGCCATCTGGGGCCCTCTTGGAAGCATCCTGGTCCGCTTTGGTCCGTCTAGCCCTTCGCGCCCACCCCAGACCCAGGGGAGGGGGGGTATGGGGAAGAGGGGGTGTTGGAAGAACGAACTCGTCGAACCACCTGCGCCCTGAAGTTCTGGCGGGATTTGTCCTCGTCTCTTCTTGCCCCTCGAGGGTTGACCAGCAGTAGCCCCCCTCTCTTCTTCGCTAGGAGCGGCAGCTGTTCAACTGGATCAAGTCCTACGCGATTCGCCACCCCACGGCCCACGCGTTGTCGGCGGTGCGGGAGCTCATGCGGAGGCAGTCCTCCTTCTCTCCACATCCGCGCGTTCAGTCAACCTGGCGGGGGCACTTGGTCACATGCATGGGCGTGGAAACTGCTGCGTTTCATTGTTCCTGCTCCTACTCTTTGAACATTTTCGCTTCGCTTTCTTGACTTACCTCCTCTTGCTTAGTTCTCTCTCTCTCTCTCGCTCTCTCTCTTCCTCTCCCTCTCTATCCCTCTCTCTTGATATTTTCAATGCTTCTCTCTCCCTCTATCTCCATATTCGCATCTACTCTATCTCTCCTTGGCTCTCTCTCTATATAGGTATCTCACGTTTTTTCGTTGCTCCTACATCTCTCTCTCTCTCGCCCAGACGTGTGCATTTTTCTCGGCGAGGACAATCGAGGAACATTCTGGATCATCGAGCAGCAGAAACACGCGCGAAACCGACGAATGCGCGGGGAATGGGTGTCCGAGCGGCGGCGAGACATGGGGTGCAGGCAGGGGCCCCACGGGGGCCCTCTTAGGGCCCCTGCTGGCTCCACTGGGGGCCCCAGAGGGCCCCCCCTTTAGGGCCCCCTTTCCGAGGTGCCACCTCTACGCTGGAGGTGCAGGTCCCTGCGAATACGAGTACAACCACTACATGGCCATTGGGAGGCGGCGTTGATGCTGCAGGGCGCTGCCTGGCGAGTTGTTCGGCGCCACTGCCGCCAGGGCAGGCCCCAAAGGGCCCCCAGTTGAGGCCCCCTCGCCATTTTGCCACCCGCCCGAGAGTGCGGCTGCGTGCTTGACACGCGACCCGCCGGTGGGGTGCGCGCCAGCCCGCCGGCGCAGAGCGAGTGGGAGGGGCCGCCCCCTCCCCCCCCCGCGGTTAGGTCGGGCCTGTCCCCTTACAGGGGGATTTTGAATGAAAAATAAGAATATTCAGAAAATGTTCAAAAGATGTCAAGAAGTATTCAAAAAATAGTCACCAGACTATTTTTTGACTATTCTTGAATATTCCCCTATAGAGGGACAGGCGCGACTTAACCCCGGGGCGCCGCAGAGCCGCGCGCCCGCGGGGGTCTCGGCGCGGGCCGGCGCGGCCCGCAGCAGGAGCTGCAGGGCGGGGCACGCGGCAGGAGGAGCGGCAGCCGGCCACGCGCGTCACGTCGGAGAGACATAGGGCCGCTGGCATTCGAGCATTCGAGCCGTCCACGCGCAGAAGGGGGTTTCGCCGAGCGCGTTTCACTATTCGCAAAGTTTCTACTCGCAAACTTCCTCAAAACACTGCTAGTCCCCGTGCCTAGATCCCCTGTGGCGGATCCAGGCCATTTGCGAGTAGTTACCTTGCGAGTAGCGGAACGCGCCTGTCCTGGGTTGGGGGGCGAATGTTTCCTAGAAGCACCCCGGTTCCCAGGAGGCGCGGGCCTTGACTGTAGATGTAGGGCCCGCGCCTTCTGGGGAGCAGCATCCTTTGAAGGGGCCTTTCCATCTCCCCCCCTGACCCCACTCTGCGCGCCGCCAAGGCAAGGAGGAAGTGCTGGCGTCGAAGTCCTCCAACGTGCGGGCGTCTGCGGTGGGCAGTCCGCCGTCGCCGCCTTCTTAAGTGCTCCCACCTGTCCTCCTTCTTGCTCCTTTTCTTTCTCCCTCCCAGCCCCTCCTCCTGCACCTCCTTCTCCTTCTCCATTCCTTCTCCTTATAATTCGATAACTCCTCCCTGTCGCACCCCGAGGCCAGTTTTTAGGGCGGGCTGGGCGTTTCGCCTGAGACTTCCTCACCATTTGTGACTATGAAGGTAAACAAGTGACAACGGTTTCATATACGGAGGGCGGGTCATTTTCAAAATGTGGCTCTCGCTTTAGCGCCGCGCACATTCGTTTTCAACAAATGCAAGAGTTTCACGGATTGAGGGCGGGTCGTTTTCAAAATAAGGCTCTCGCCTTAGCGCCGCGCACATTCGTTTTCAACATTTGCAAGAGTTTCACGGATTGAGGGCGGCTGGTTTTGAAAATGTGGCTCTCGCCTTAGCGCCGCGCACATTCGTTTTCAACATGTGCAAGGGTTTCACGGATTGAGGTCGGGTCGTTTTCAAGATGTTGCTCTCGCATTCGCGCCGCGCACATTCGTTTTCATATTTTGCATGATATTCACGGAATGAGAGCGGGTCGTTTTCAAAATGTGGTTCTCGCCTTGGCGCTGCGCACATTCGTTTTCAACATGTGCAAGAGTTTCACGGATTGGGAGCGGGTGGTTTTGAAAATGTGGCGTCTCTTTCGCGCCGCGCACATCCGCTTTCAAACTTTGCAAGAGTTTCACGGATTGAGGGCGGTTCCATTTAAGAATGTTGTTCTCGCTTTGGCGCCGCGCACATTCGTTTTTAACACTTGCAAGAGTTTCACGGATTCCCATGATCAGCGTACCAGAAATTGTGTTTTGGAAGGACTCAGGACTATGCGGGCGCAACATTTATTTTGATTCGCTGTGTTGAAGTCCCGAACATGGCGTTGGCACGATTCTGGATCGTCAAGACGCAGCAGTCATGTTGATACGTGGCGTTGAAATCCCGAGAACAATGTTTTGGCACGCTTCAGGATCTTCAAACTGTTGTCTTCCAGCGAGGCAGTTCTCTCAATGGAAATGAACCGTTTTAGGGGCTTATGAAGAGGGAGCTTGAAGGGAGGGGTAATTCCAACATCGTTGATGACTCTTGGGTTTCCACTGGTCCTCCTCCTCCTCCTCCCTTCCCCCTCACTCCTCCCGCATCGCCCGTGCTGCCTTTCACAGTCGCTGTTCTTCACCAGGCTCTGCAGACCTACCGCTTTTCGGAGTCTCGCCCTGGGAGCCCGAGGAGCGGTGAATATGGATACCTGCCCGCCTCTGCGGGCGGGAGTGGGGATTGGACCCCAGAAGAGGAAGAAATGGAGGCCTCCTGGCCGGACCGCCCACGTGCAACGTGGACACCCAGAGGTGCAGACCTCTTCCCCGGGGCCGCATCCCCTGGGGCCCAGTAAGAGCCCCCAGGGGCCGAACCTGGCCGACAGCCTGCCGCTCGTAGTGCTTCTTGGAAGCGGCGGGGCCGTTTTTCTAGTTCCGGCGCCGTCTTTGTGTCGGTTCCGTCGCTCCTGTTCTGGCTTTGGCTCTTCCCTTTCGGCGAGCCGCTTTTTGCATCGCTTCCACTCTCAAGGGCAGGTTTTTTTGGGTGGGAAGCGGTAGAAGCACGGCATTGCTGTGCCCAAGAACCACTTAAACTACGGGGCAACGACAGAGCGGGATATGCATGGGGGGGATGCATCGACCCCCAACCGCCCACTGATCGCCAGTAGGGGCCCTACAGCCCACCCCTTCCGCAGGAACCCGCGGATGTACAATCGTGGGCCTACCGCCGATCTAGCGGCGAGGCGTCGCCGATCCCAGGTCGATGCTTCCCCCTATCGCAGGCCTAGAGGTTGACACCAACACCAGTATCGGCGGCGTGCCTCCACCCAGGGACGAAGATCCCGATCTCGGTAATGGTGGTAATATTGGTGCCGTCCGAGGGTCTTGTGGACGTCCTTAGGTGCAGACAGAAGTCGTCTGGCCCCGGGTCGTCTCTGGAGCCGCACGGGGAGGCCTTGGGGGGCCCCCAGGTGGTCCTAGACGAGGATCAGAGGAGGGCCATCTGTGATAGTGGTCGCACGATTGGAGAGGCGGTGCCGCCGACCCTGATCGAAAGGGCTAGGAGTGGGGGGAGGAAACGGAGGATGAGGAGGAGGAGGAGGAGGAGGAGGAGGAGGAGGAGGAGGAGGAGGAGGAGCAGGAGCAGGAGGAGGAGGAGGAGGAGGTCCCGATCTCGGTAATGGTGGTAATATTCTGGCTGCCAAGGTGACCGAACTATTAAACACCAACACCGAAATCTAGGATCATCTTCCCCCTGTGGAGGCAACCCGTTGTGTTGGTGTTGGTGCTCATTTCCAGGGCTTCCAACTCTATGCCTATCCCCCCCCCATCGCTGCTCCCCCTAAGCTCCCGCTGATTTTTCCCCATGACGCGCGGGGGCCCGGCGGCCAGGCATGCCCGTCGTCGTTGACACTGGGTGTCTTTGGACTCCCAGATCCCCTCCTGCTTCGGGAGCCGATGTGCCAGTGCTGTGTTCGGCGATTCTCTCGGCGGGCCCGAACCCGATCTGCTTCAGCCGCCCTCCGACCGACGTGCATCGCCCCCGCGAACCCATCCCGGGGCGCGCCCGGGCCAGGACCTCGAGGCGGCTCCTGCCGCGGCGGCGCGAGGCTCCCCCGGCATCGTGGACGCGTGAGACTGGAGCACGCCGGAGCTCGGGTTAGCCGACGCTTTTTGATCGGCGGCGGCGACGGGGGCGAACAGCCCAGGGGCGGGCATTACGCGTACCCCGCCGGGGAGCGTCGCCGAAGCCATGTACCATCGGCCCCCCTGGATACCTGTATTGCTCCCCCCGGGGCTCTTCGCCCCCATCGTCGCCTCCGATTTGATGGGCCCGTTCCAGATTTCGACGGTCCAGTTTTCGTGGGATGTCTGCAGCGGGAGCTCGCGTCAAGTGGGTCTCATCGTGTTCTTGACGGCCCCGTCAGGCCAACCCGAGCCCTTCTAACCTGAGTCTTACGCCCCACGACGGGAGGCCCGAGGACGACGAAAAACTTCGAGCGCAGGCTTCCGACGATGTGTTCTTTTCAGTGCGCTGCCTCGGAGGTCCCGACCGCTTGTCGGGACGGGAGGTAGTTTTTCGGCCCGGATCTTTCTTTGATGTCGCCCGGGCTTCATAACGGTCCCCAGGGGCCGAAATAGAGGAAACAGGCCCGGATGGAACACATCACATCGTCGGAGGAGACCGTCGACGTTGTTTCGGACCTTCGATGGACGGAACTGCGGCCCGCCGTTTCGCGTTTCGGGAGGGGTGGTGACGACTGATCGGGGCCATATGCGAACCCTACCCCTACCTCCCACGATTTCTGAGGGGGGCAGGGGCAGGGTTCGCATGTGGCCCCCCAGACTGAGCGGGGGGTGGCTATCTGTCCAGATTTCATGGATCGATTCTCTCCTGTCATTACTGCCCTTGGTCCCCCCCCTGGTCCGCGCGCGCGCCTTGGGCCGTGATGTGCGACCCTCCCTCTTGGACGCCCCCGACCGTTACCGCTGCGGGTGCGAGTGCCGAGCGCTGCCGCCTTGCCGCCGCCTTGCCACGAGAGGCCGGGCGGGGCCGGCTTCAAGCGGCTTGCGGATGCCTGGTGGTCGAACGTGGCGGCCAAGGGCTGCGGCGTGCCGGAGGACCGGAGGAGGAGGTAGGCAGCGAGAGGGAAGGGGGAGGGATTCTAATATTCGTAGTAAGAAGAATACGAGGATACATAATTACTGCAATCAGTACTAATCAGAATACTCAGAGTCATAGTAATATCAATAATGCTAGTTCTACTACGAATATTGTTATTCATCTGAATAAAAATAACGATCTTACAACAAAAAGACGTCGAACAATATAACGAGTTGTAATATTACGGAGAAGAGTACGAATACGACGACTGCTAGTAATCAGCATAATAAGCAACATGTACATGTTGATTTTAATCTTACTGCTACTAGTATTAACAAAGTATGAACATGAATGGTATTGAAAAGCTATTCGCGAATTCAGCAGGTATGCGAACACACACAGTCATGACAATGACATAACCACGAACAATATACTTATGCGAAGAAAATGAAGAAGACGAATGTTAACAATAATAGAAACAATAATAGCAAGACGAGGAATAATAACACACATGATATTAGCAATACGAGCAATGACGAAATTTGTATTATTTTCACTACTACAAAGAATAGAACAATAATGAAACTACGATTATTCGGAATAATAGTAATAACACCCATACCAGTATTGCTATTATCTGTATTAGTCGGAGGTGAGGGGGTGAGATCGCAGAAGAACGGAGAGCCCCCCTACCGGGAAATCGATTTCGGTTTCGTGTTCGTGCGTGCCGTGCGTGCGGGCGAGGCGAAGCTGCGTAGGCTGGCGAGAGGAAAGTCTCCTGTGGCTGAGGCGCGGGCGGACCAAATGTCTCCCTTCCGGCACCTGGTGGCGCGCGGTGTCCCGCCGGTGTCCCGCTGTGACTGAGGCGCGGCCAGACCAAATGTCTCCCTTCCGGCAACCAGTGGCGCGCGGTGTCCCGCGGGTGTCCCGCCGGTGTCCCGTCGGTGTCCCGATGATGACTGTGATGATGATGTCGATGGTGTTGATGATCATGATGGCGATGGTGGTGATGATGATGGTGTCCCGATGATGATGTTGACGATGTTGATGATGATGATGGTGATGGTGGTGATGATGATAGTGTCCCGATGATGTTGATGTTGATGATGATAATGTTGCTGATGATGATGGTGTCCCGATGATGATGATGATGATGATGATGATGATGATGATGATGATGATGATGATGATGATGTTGATGTTGATGTTGATGATCATGATGATGTTGATGATGATGGGATGAGGATGAGATGATGATGATGATGATGATGATGATGATGATGATGATGATGATGATGAAGATGATGATGATGATGATGATGATGATGATGGTGTCCCGATGATGGTGGTGATGATGAGGTTGATGATGATGCTGTTGATGATGATGATGCTGATGATGATGGTGTCCCGATGATGATGATGATGATGATGATGATGATGATGATGATGATGATGACGATGATGGTGTCCCGTTGATGATGATGATGTTGATGATGAGGATGGTGATGAGGTGATAATGATGATTTTGATGATGGTGGTCCGATGATGGTAATGATGATGATGATGATGATGATGATGATGATGATGATGATGATAATGATGATGATGATAATGATGATGATTATGATGCTGATGTTGGTGTTGATGATGGTGTCCCGATGATGATGATGTTGATGATGCTGATGTTGCTGATGATGATGATGGTGTCCCGATGATGATGTTGATGATGTTGTTCATGATGATGATGAGGATGATGATGAGATGATGATGATGATGATGATGATGATGATTATGATGATGATGATGATGATGGTGGTGTTCCGATGATGACGATGTTGCTGGTGCCCCGATGATGATGATGTTGATGATGATGATGGTGACGATGATGGTGTCCCGATGATGATGATGCTGGTGATGATGATGCTGATGATGTTGATGATGATGGTGCTGAGGTGGTGGTGATGATGATGATGATGGTGTCCCGATGATGATGATGATGATGATGATGATGATGATGATGATGATGATGATGATGATGATGATGATGTTGATGGCATTGATGACGATGATGTTGATGATGACGATGACGTTGACTGTAAGATCGATTGTGATATTGATAGTGAGATCGAGAGTGAGACCGAATGTGAGATCGACTGTGAGATCGATGGTGAGATCGAGAGATCGATAGTCAGATCGATTGTGAGATCAATCGAATGAAATATGTCGAGTGAGATCGATTGTGAGATCGATCGAGTCAGATCGATCGAGCGAGACCGATAGTGAGATCGATAGTGAGATCGATAGTGAGACCGATCGAATGAGACGTTGGTTCCTCCCCCCCGAACCTCCTTATCACCCGAAGGGTGGTCGTATAGGTAATACTATGGTTATTACTGTTAGTGCTACTCTTCTTCTTTCTTATTGTCAGTGATTACTGTGATACGTAGTCTGATTATTTTTAATACTATTAATCGCAATCGTATCAATAATGCTGCTAGCGAGGAGTGGGAAAGAAGAGGAGAGGGGAGGGAGAGGGATGAAGAGAAGGGGGAGGATGAGGAGGAGGAAGGGCAGGTGGTGGCGGAGGAGGCGGAGGAGAAGGAGGAGGAGGAGGCAGGATGGAGGGAGGGAGAGAGGAGGGGGCTAGCTAGGTGTGCTTCGCCGTAACTGATTTCCCATCCCACCCATCCCTTCCCACGGTGCTGCTGTTTTCTCTATCCACCGACGGGTATCTTACCGGACCTGGAAGCCCCAAAGGAGCCCATCGTGTTATGTGCAATATTCGAAGGGGGGGCATGTACAGTGGAGGAGGAGGAGGTAGCGGATGAGCAGGAGGATGAGACAGACGAAGAAGTTGGTGAGGAAGGATGCAGATGAGGAAGGACGATGACGAGGAAGAGCAGCGGCAGCCGGATCAGGGGTGGATGAAGCGGGAGGAGCAGGAGGAACAGGGATGGCGGGGGAGAGGCAATGAAGGGGGCGAGAACGATGGGAAAGCATTCGGATCCAGAAATGTTGCCCGCGCTGGGGCGAGAGCGCCTTTCTGAGCGACACGTGCAACGCGCCGACCCTTGAATGAGGCCAACGCTGCAGCAGGAGCACCGCATTGAAACACCAGAGGCATTCCGATTCGGGAACACATTGCATGACACACCATCTTCTGGAATTCAGTGGGAAAACAACACGGACAGGTGGGATACTTTCAGGACATAGTCGGCGAAGAGAGGAGAAGTGTATTCGGATCAGGCCAGGTGCGCTTGCGCCACATCTGAGATCATGCACCGCCCAGCCAGTCCTTCCCATTTCGCTGATCTCCCTCCGCCCGCCGACGTGTGTCACAACGGACCTGGAACTCCCAAAGGGGTTCCATCGTGTTGTACGCAATAAGAAAGGTGGAGCTTCGTACATTGGAGGAGGAGGTGGCGGATGAGCAGGAAGATGAGCAGGGAAGACAAGAAGGAGGATGAAGCAGGAGGGGGACGATAACGATTAGTAGCAGCAGGAGCTGGAGTGGAACGAGTGGGATGAGCTGGAGGAACATGAGAGGGCGGATGAGGGGGAAGACGAGGGAGGTGACAACGATGAGGAAGGACTCGGGTCCAGAAAACTGCCCGCGCTTGGAAGAGACCGCCATTTTGAACGAAGGGAGCAAACCGCCGATCCTAGACTGCGGCCCACGCTGCAGCGGAACCACCATTTTGAAACACCAAAGCGTTCCGATGGGAAACATCCATCCGAAGTACACACTTTTGAATTCTTGTGTGCGAAACAACTGATGGTGAGGATGGAACATCTCCTGGACAGAGTCAGGGGAGAAGGGAGGGTCGTCTTCATGTTGAGTACACGTTGTGTAGTTGTGGATGGGGGAGGAGGAGGAGGAGGAGGAGGAGGAGGAAGAGGACGAGGAGGAGGAGGAGGAGGAGCAGGAGGAGGAGGAGGAGGGGGAAGATAAGGAGGAAGAGGAGGAGGTGGCCAGTAAAGGACTTAGGACGCGTCTTCGGACGTCGGATTTGACTGGCCCGGTTCTCTCGCGCATCTTCTCTATCAGGGAGAGTTTCGTGGGCCGCTAGGGAGCCAAGGGAGAATAAAGGATACCACCGACAACATGTTGAAATCCACAGCGAACGCGTTTCAGGCGTTCTCGTATTTTTCCCAACCATCCCATGGTGTTGGGTCCTCGTTTTGAAGAGACAGCGCCCCGCGTTCGTTCTTTCCTTCTTCCTCCTCCCTCTCGTCCTTCCTCCCCTGCGTGCATCGGTCTACCATTTCGGCACACCCCTCACTCGTTTCGTGGCTCTATATGGGGGCTCCACCGAAGGCCTCAGTGGCGGCGTCCACATGCGCCCCCGCTGCCGATTTGGGCACCCCCCCCCACGTTTCGTGGCCCAGCAGGGAGCTCACACCGAATGCCCCAGTAGCGGCGTTCGCATGCGTCCCCGCCACCAATGTCGGCCCAGTCGGCACACCCCTCACACGTTTCGTGGCCCCACACGGAGCTCCACCGAAGGTCCCCGTGGCGGTGTCCACATGCGGCGTCCCCACATTTTCGGCACCCCCGTCACGCGATTCGTGGCACACCGCATCACACGTTTCGTGGCCCCACAGGGAGCTCCACCGAAGGCCCCAGTGGCGGTGTACACATGCGCCCCCCGCCACCCATTTCGTCACACCCCTCACACGCCTTGTGGCCCCACAGGGAGCTCCACCGAAGGCCCCAGTGGCAGTGTCCACATGCGTCCCCGCCCTTCATTTCGGCACACCCCTCACGCGCTTCGTGGCCCCACAGGGAGCTCCACCGAAGGCCCCAGTGGCGGTGTCCACATGCGTCTCCGCCACCCATTCGGCACACCCATCACACGTTCCGTTCCTTGCCCCCATGGGGAGCTCCACCGAAGGGCCCAGCGGCGGTGTTCCACACATTTTCGGCACTTCCCTCATACGATTCGTGGCTCCATGGAGAGCTCCACCGAAGGCCTCTGCGGCGGTGTCCACATGCGTCCCAGCCACCCATTTCGGC